AAAGAAAGAAAGAAAGGCAGTATATAACTTGAAGTAAAGCTTGAAGTAAATCATATTTTATCGATTGATAATCGAATCAAAAAACTCTTCTACGATAAATAAAAAGTAAGAATACAATCGTATTAAGATTGGAGCAATGTGTTTCTCTTTTATCTCTTGCATACGCTTGAAGAAAAAGTACAGAAAAAGAATTCGCGAGTAACCATTAGGGTGTTGATAACTTCTCTTTAATTCGTACGGACCGAGCATTTTATTCCGTCAGGATTATCAGGAAAATTCTTATCGCCGCTTCCTGAATTCTACGCCTCTGAAGCCCGACCACCCCCGCGTGCCACCCCAAGTACACCCCTAATGACGTCATCGGACAGTGGCGCCAACAACTCTGCACTGACGTCAGTCCTGAACATTGGGCAACTAAGTTACCTTTGCTCTATGAATTTCACATTTTTCAGCTTTCTCTCACGTAAGATTAGAAAGTAACGAACAATAGCTTGAAGATCTTTAATTCGCCGACCATTTTTATCGATCTTTCCCTGTCTTCTTACTCGAAGAACTTTATTAGAAACGAAGTTCGCTTAGAATAGACCAGAGTTCTGCATATATCGTGCTATTATCGAGTCGACGTAAAGCAGTAGCTCTGTCATCGATTCATCATGACGACAGCAATGACGATCTCGCTCATTGGTAGTTACCTGAGGCTGCAGTTGCATTCATTTCGTATCGATTCGATTTTTCGGCTTAAACGATAACGTTATATCGATGTTCTGTGGCCGAAAATTTTCCTTCATATTTCGTATTATTTCACAATCGTGAAATCGATACGTTCATTCATTTCTCACCTCGTCTCTCAATTACTTTCTTTTCCTCGATTTTCCCGTTCGAGATTCGGGAATTCTTGAATCACCGAGGAGAAACAGTTGTTGTATATCTCAAGAGAGAACATGGTTCCATCGACTTTTCTAGGGTCCCGTTTCTGCTTACGTTCGCATCGAAGTATTCACACAAAATATTCACTGCCAATGCCATGCACGGAACAAGGTGATGCGACATTACGAAGCCAATTGACAAAGATCGTTCAGTTTTGCAAATATTCCAATAACATACAAGGTGTTTAATTATAATGGAAATGGTGGAACGTTTCACGAAGGATTGACGTTGTCAAAAGAATACTTCAACGAAAGTTTTTTCGAAGGGGGGCATTATACGATGCAAATCGATGAACTAACAACGCACTAAGTCGATAATTAGCTTAGAATTATTATCGTTAGATATATGAGACGACGCAAATAGGTTGCTTTTAAAGACTTCCAAAAATATCGCTCGAATGTTTATTACGATTGACGTTCGCGTGATAGAGGAAGAAGAGGGATGATGTATTATTTACATATTTAGTAGCCGAACGATCGAAATTGCTAAATATTTCAATGGCTGACGGAATATCAAGATAATCAATATTTAGAGAGAGTTCGTGATAAAAGATCTTAGACTTTTGCCATTGATATCTCTCGATTGAGAAGTAACGCTGTTCAACTCACGCTTGCGGCCACAAATTTACGCACACAGGCCCGTTTCTGCTTACGTAGGCATCCTGCTTTCTCATTGCCGGCGACGATTCACTTATACACATATCGTTCTCTCCAAACGAACGCGAATCCCTCTTTTTACTGTCACGACGATGACGTCAATTCTCTCTAATCCCGGTGCTCATTTCCGAAAATTATGGTAGCACCGGTAGGCCAACGTACCGTCGACGGACGTTTAGGACGATCATCGGTTTCCTGATTACGACCCTCCTGCCTTTTACAAATGATTTCGCCTTGTCGCTTACGGCTTTTCGTTTTGAAAATCAACCAATCGACGATACGATCAATCGCGTGACATTCGATTTACACATCATTGGTCATTTATAGTTCGTCGCGAAAAGTCTACATACAAATGCTTAAGGGAAAAACTAGGATTTTTAACGTTTTATAGATTTATACATTGATTTGTTTATTAACATACTCTTGATTTATCATCATATTATTTTTGTATGCATTCATTTTGTATTTTTTTTTTTTTTTATTATCAAAATATGCAAAATATGTTTTTATCATCATCATCATCAATTTTATTTGCTTCGGTGTACAAATGATAATTGTATATAAATTTTGCGTAAAAAAAAGTAAAGTCGATACTTTGTAAATGATCCAATTAATTTAACTAGCAAATTGATCAAGATGTATGTACACTTCTCCGATGAACTGCATATTCTATTTGCAATTGGAACAGTATAAGATAATATTTTTCCTTGACAAAATCAAATATCAAATATTTATTAATACGCGTGTATGTATGTTAAAGACATATTTGTATTCGTATTTTATTTTACGTGCACACGAATATAACAATCTTTGCTGATTGTATTGTATTTTCCATCCTTTGTTAGCATTATTTCTGAAGAAACGATGACGATTTACTATCAATGCTTAAAATACAAGGTAATAAGCACAATTAAACACACAAGGTAATATCTGTAGATATGCGATCATCGATGTTTTTTTAATATCGATTTTCCCAGTCTCTATAATAGCAACGATGTTACGTAACATTAGTCAAGGTCGAGATATACTCGATCGTTCTTCCTATGAAACTGACCTTATAATTGTGACGCTTATGTTTTTAACGTCATCGATTAAAAAAAGCAATATCAACGATGAATTTTTGATGAAGATAAGGATAGAGTCATAGATCGGTATAAATCGGCACTGCAATAGTAATAACGAATCATTAATAAAGGAAAATATGCAGGTGATAATAACATGTTCTTCTCAAATACTCAAATGTTAATATTTATTGCTGTAGAAGTGTAATCGAAATAAATATCGTGCGAGTATAATATATACAAGGCAAAAATGTTAGAAATATGAAAAGTGCAGTGTAAATTCAGTATAGAAACATCATAGCAATTAATAAATATATGAACATTCTTTTTTTTTTTTGCTTTTTTTTTTCTTACAAGCACATCGAAAAAAAATCATCATTCAAAATATTGACATGTATATTTAATTTCGCGTAGTTGTTATAAAATTCCATTGACTTTCCGCTTCTAGTGTAACCGGCATGAAATTAATGAGTTATAGCTATAGGGGACACTATCCAGGCAACGTTGTAAACGTAAGGTGAGGGACGCATCCCCATTAGGCCCATAAAGTAATTTTATGGGACTGACGTTTTACCTAACGATACAATTGCCAAAAGAACGTCTGTCTTTCTAATCACGTGATTGATGAGAAGGACACAAAGAAAGTTGGCCTTGCGACAATGGTTAAGACATCTTAAAATTCAACCATGAAAGCCTACTTTCACAACGTCTAAAATCCACGAGTATACCTGGGACGTTTCCTGCGTTATACACGCTGCGACCGCTCGCAATCAATAAAGTGCGTATTCACCAACGTGAAATAACACAAAACAAAGTGCAGTTTGTTTCGTCAACAACCTAGACCCTTTAAAATAGCGTACATTATTTATACATTACGTAAGACCTAATAAAACTTTCTCTGATATCGATCGAGTGAAATGTTGGAATAGAGGTGCATGATAATTATATAAAATAAATACAATCATATATACAATATTCTTTATGTAATCGAACATTCACTAAAC